CATTTTGAACGTGAATACACCTGATAAACTACAAAACGCTAATACTGTTTAAAAACAGTTGAGTCACGCTAGCATTGACTCTTATAGTTTGTTTCAGTATAAGGGCCAGAATTACTAAACAGGGCAAATTAGCGTGAGAGCGCAATTCCAAAATATCTACTGACGATGCGCACATTAAAAAACACAAACACAGCTGAATCATTTACATAATGACCAACACAATCTAAGGCCCCGTCCACACTACTGCGTTTTCGTCATAGAGCCAAGCGTCAGCCTTTGCGTCAGCGTTTCCAAACTTCTCCGTTTTAGGTCTTCGTTTTTCCCCGTTTTAGTCTGGACGGGAGGTGCAAACGTAGCAAAAGGTCTCCGTTTTTAAACTAAAACGCAGTAGTGTGGACGGGGCCTAAGAAGAGCAGTGCAGATTAGCGTCTGGTTTAAAGGATTAGTTCACTTTTGAAAAAACTTTTGCTGATAATTTACTCACCCCCATGTCATCCAAGATGTCCATGTCTTTCTTTCCTCAGTCGAAAAGAAATTTAGGTTTTTGATGAAAACATTCCAGGTTTTTTCTCCATATAATGGGCTTCAATGGGAACCAGATGGTTCAAGGTCCAAAAGACAGTTAATAACAGTTTCAGATGCAGCTTCAAATGTCTTTAAACACCAGACGATGAATAAGGGTCTTATCATGCGAAACGATCGTTTTTTTCAAAACTTATTCCAAAAATTGAACTTTTCTAAGGACAAATGCTAGCCTTGCTCTATTCTGTGAGGCGCGTTTGCAATGTCACGTATTACGTAATTATGTTCAAAAGGTCACGGGCGACGTAGCCGAAAGTACAGAGTCAATGTTTACAAGTTGAACGCATAGGTTGAACGTGCAAACTAGCTCAAACACCGTTTACAAAAAAAGGAATTAAAAGGAAAAACAACGATGTCGGACAATTTTGATTCTGTACTTCCGGCTACGTCGCCCGTGGCCTTTTGAACGTAATTACGTAATACGTGACGTTGCAAACGCGCCTCACAGAATAGAGCAAGGCTAGCATTTGTCCTTAGAAAAGTTACATTTTTGGAATAAGTTTTGAAATAACCGATCGTTTCGCATGATAAGACCCTTATTCATCATCTGGTGTCGTTTAAAGACATTTGAAGCTGCATCTGAAACTGTTATTAACTGTCTTTTGGACCTTGAACCATCCGGTTCCCATTGAAGTCCATTATATGGAGAAAAATCCTGGAATGTTTTCATCAAAAACCTTAATTTCTTTTCGACTGAGGAAAGAAAGACATGGACATCTTGGATGACATGGGGGTGAGTAAATTATCAGCAAAAGTTTTTTCAAAAGTGAACTAATCCTTTAAGACATGCTGTTTGAGTGTTATATAATGGCGCAAACACCAGGGCAAGCACCCGGTGTAAATGACTTTGTACACTGACGCATGCATCATTCCTATTTCAATACATCATTCGCAAAGTGGGCTTTTCCCTCCACAGACGCATGTCGGTAAACTATGATCTTGCGCTCCCTGGGCGGATCGACGCAAAAAGGAGGCGTGTTTTGGCACGAACATTCCCTGGTGCTATTTTACACTTCCAGAAAACAATTGCGCCACTGACCAGAAAACACCTGGTCTAAAGTCAGTGGCGTGTTGCGCGTTGTTTATAATGCTATTGTAAGCGAGCATGCTTGGCCATAATGTAGCGGGTGCACAACGCGCATACACTTTTATTCTCTCATCAACACGGATGCAGCAGTTTATATTTGTGCAAATTAGGGCTGACTTCTAATAGTCGAGGATTACCCTTAGGCTAAAGCGTTAAGTTACAAGTTACAAGCTCACCACCGCATCAAAAACATGAAAAATACTACCTAAACATAGCCTAACTGTTAAGAAAAAAAACACAGAATGAATAGCCTAATGCGCATACGTCCATCTCTTTTGTTTGAAATGGAAAAAATATATCTGCTAGACCTATCTAAAAAAAAAGGTTCGACTATCAGTCGACTACGGCAAAATCTAACGAATCAGATTCGACTATGAAAATCCTTAGTCGAAAACAACCCTAGTTCAAATCATACATTATAACAAGGAAAAATATTAACACATGAGGGAAATCATTGTGGTGTCCATGAAGATGGAAAAAAAATGTAGGCCTAAATCTAGTTTACACATTTACCCAAATTTTTCAGGCTAATTGTGGTGACGGATCAGATCTGTTTGCCCAATAGTGGCAAGACACATGTATATAAAGACGACAAATTAGATTGTCCGTCTAGAACCAGGAAAAAATAATCTGAAGACTGCGAAATCGCCTGGTAAATCCGCCATAATGGGCTCTATGCACGGCGGTATTTCCGGTGAATGTGTAAGGATGCTCGATAACTTCCACCGATCGTAGAGTCCAATGCAATACCGAGAATTTATATTGAATTTTATACTCCATGGTTATACTAAAGAAACGTTAGTCACAAAAACAGATAAAACAGACACCCCTCGTTGTGTTTATGCTTCTTTTTAAAATTATATTAAATAAACATAACTATATATATAATTACACCTAAACGTATGTACGTTTCGTTTCAAAGACGGGAGGACAGTAAATTTCGAAGACTCTGCCATAATCCCGTTTTCCTCGGTTTTCCTCCGCTTTAATCTCCACAACCGGAAATGGACGAGCATCCTTGCGTCAAATGCGGAATTTATGCGTGCATATAGCCCATAATAACAATCCGCCATGCAACATGTGCACCTGCTCTTAATGGGTGTGTTGGATGACGCTCTGATTGGTTTATTTCACGTTACGCCCAAACCACACCTATGAATAATGAAGCTACTTCAGCCCAACCCCTTTTAAACTTGTGTCGGGTGCAAGAGTGATTTACCCCGCCGGTAAAATAGCGACAGCGCACAAGACCCGCCCACAAACTTACTTGATACTTGCGTTTCAGATCGTTAAAATAAGGCCCCAGTACATTGACTAGAGCAAACCTTTGTAAATCACCTTGTGTGATTCATTTAAATACTAATATCAATTTTGCGTCTGAAAGGGAAACTCCTACAAATGCATATGCCGCAAAAATAACCCTGTCCATTTTCGACTGTATTATATTCCACCAGTAATTAGTCGTTTTTTTACGGCAAAAGTGGGTTTGCACTGACGCAAGCTGTTAGTAAATCTGGCCTTAAGACTGCTAAACACTCAAAAGACTCAGAATTCAGATATATACATTAAAGCTGCGATGAAACTCAAGTAGCCACTGATTTTTCTTCAATTTTGTGATAACATATCAAAAAAGATGTATCGGTTGTTGATTGGATGGAGCTTGCAGTCAGTTAAATAAGAGGTGGGGTTTAAGCAGTCTAAATGATTGAGGAAATAAAGGTTAAAAAATGAAACTCGCACGGATAAATACACTGGATGAATTTCCATTTCATGCCGATTATGTTGAACCTTCTCCTCTGCGTTCACACTCATTGCGTTGTTCTGCTATGAGTCAGTGTCCCAAGTCGCAGGAAAACGGACATGAAAGATTTGGCAGCCAGACATCAGAAGTGGTGCTTATTCCTCTGCTCAGCGCGATCAGGCCAGAGCGAAGAGCCTTGATAGGCCTGAAGTGAACTCGTGCCTTGAACTCACACCTGTGAACGGGAATAACATCCTCGATATGGCACGTCCGGATCATTTCAGATTCAATGAGCCACAGATTAGACACATTGTGATTTTATTGAACATGGAAAATTGACTTTGTTATATGTTGTATTATTCAAAACACAAACCTTTCCAGAAGGCCCAGGATTTAAGATGCTGTAAAGCAATGAGGATTAGTTTGCTTGTTGTCTTACTGTATGTGTCTCTAATGTAAAAAAATAATAATAATAGTAATCACCTTATTAAATTGGAAAAGGTGCCATTTCATGAAATTATCTACAGCATATTTTTTACATTGCAATTTGTTGAGCGTATGAAAAGATTGCTGAATAATAATTAGTAACGGTATGGGTGCTCTCAAATAAATGTCTCGTCTTATTTCACCTCATAATGAAAACAAATGTATTTTTCATGGGATTTTACCACATTTTCACAAACTTTTTGCTATTCTGTACAAATGATACATACTAAAAATCTTACCGTACACTTTATTAAATTACACTTTTTTTTTCTTGCTACTGCTGAGAATCGGGTGGTGCCGATGACATCAGAATGATGTCACAATGAAAAAAAGCAGATCACAATGATCTTTAATTTTAAACGAATGCATTCAGGCAATCATTTCACACAATATGTTTCCTTTTGATTTCTGGGTTAAATATGGCCTGAGTGTTTGAGAGTAACTTCAAATTCAATGACCTTTCAAGGACTTTCCAGGTCCAATACACTCAAATTTAGGGACTTAATGTGGGGACACATTTGTTTTGTCCAACAATAAACGTTCAGGTACCATCATAGTAGTTTCGTCCATGCGTGAACGTCAAGTACAACACAAAGTACCCCACGCGGGAAACACTTAACGTACCGCAGAAATAAGCGTAACTAACGATAATCAAGCAAAGCTAGTGTGCACAGGCCACAAAGTGTTGGCGAAATAGCATATTAGTGGACCGGAATAATATAATATGGATTTTTTTTTCATACAAAATAAGTTCAAGCACTTTCAAGGACCTGTTTCAATGTATGATTAGTTTCAAAAAAATTTTATTTTTTTTTTTTTCCCCTGATTCACAAACTTTTAAGGATTTCAAGGACCTGAGGGAACGTCCCATAACCCCGAACACGCAGTACGGATACAGTATCTACACGTTATAGATCATATAAAGAAGGAAGTCATTTGGCAGCGCACAATCTTACGTGTGAACTGAATGCGTCGTTATGTCATTATTTTTACATTTGCAGTTTCCTCTCTGATGGACATTCATCAGTTTAATCGCAACCATTATTTCCACTGAGCCGAGAAGGAAGGCAGTATTTTTCTTTTCCTGCCGAAATGTTTGAGGAGTTCTCCCTCTCACTGCACCGTGTGCTGAGTGACGGCCCGTGAGGCCAGCAGTCGGGCGATGACGTCATCGCCGTACCCCAGGGTGTCTCGGAGAACCTGGACCGTGTGCTGGCCGATCACAGGGGGAGGAGCCGGGCTGCGGGACTCAAAACTACTGAAGCGCACAGCAGGGCCTGTGTGGAAACAACACGGTAAGTTTAATAAAAATATACTTTTTGATACCCAAAACCTCCAAATATTAAAGAATGCAACACGATAAATAGACACAACTGTTCAAAAGTTCGGGTAACATTTTTGAAAGAAGTCTCTTCTGCTCACAAAGCTGCATTTATTTAAAGGGATAGTTCACTTTGAAATTAACTTTTGGTATGTTTTAGATTACCTCAAGGGCATCCAAGATGTAGGTGTCTTTGTTTCCACGGTATTTTCAATTTTGATATTTTTCGGTCAAACCGTTCTTGTCTGTCAGTCATATAATGCAGGTCTATGGTCACCACCTCAAAGAGCATGCACAGAGAAGTCCAAATTAAACATGATTTAATGACTCGTAAATGTAAGTACACATTGACGGCCTAAGACATGAAACGAGCGGTTTGTGTGAGAAAACAAACAGTATTTATATCGTTTTTACCTCTTGTAATCACAGCCACGTCCAAGTGATCTGAGGGCGCGGGCGCTTTGGTCTGCACAAGCGCTGGAAGTGATCTGTCACATGTGTACATTACTTATTGTTTACACAGAGATTTCGGAAGTGTTACCCTTCACTGTTAAGATCTAAACATATTTAGATATACAGGGAATTGCAATGGAAGACGATTTCGATATATCAACAGACAACGTTGATTTTTTTTCGCAATCACTTCCGGCGTTTTCCAGTGCTTGTTATAAATACTAAATAAAAACGATATAAATACTGTTCGTTTTCTCACACAAACCGCTCGTTTAGTGTCTTAGGCCATCAATGTGTACTTACATTTACGAGTCATTAAATCATGTTTAATTTGGACTTCTCTGTGCATGCTCTTTGAGGTGGTGACCATAGACCTCCATTATATGACTGACAGACGAGAACGGTTTGACCTAAAAATATCAAAATTGAAACTATGCGGAAACAAAGACACCTACATCTTGGATGACCTGGAGGCAAGCTAAAACATATAATAAAATTAATTTCAAAGTGAACTATCCCTTTAAGTAAAACCAGTAATATTGTGAAATATTATTTCAATTTAAACCTTTTCCATGTGAATATATTTTTTAAATGTACTTTATTTCTGTGAATATTTTAAAGCTGAATTTTCAGCATCATTAATAAACTAGGCATCCCATTAAACATGGGGATGACAGCCCTAAAAAAAATAATTACATATATATTAAATTTTACATATATATTCAATGCATCTGGCTTAAAATAAGTGAAATGGAGTTGGAATGTGGCAGAACTTCGTTGTGGCTCAATTTACCCCCAGTTAAACAGCATGATCGTCAGAATGCAAAACATTTACAATGAATTCTAAACAAAGACAACTAAGTGAAGTGTAGGAGGGGCGTTTGAGGAAATGGCTAAAAGCTTTTACTCATAATCTGTCAAACCTGCAGGAAAGTCCATAAGGCTACTGACTTACAATCACTGCGGAATATAAACACAGCCGACATATCCAAATGTGGCATTTACAGAGAGATGATGTCAAAATGGATGAGTAGGTCATCTGGGTGAGTCACTTCCTCAAAAACTTCAGATATTGCTATCATCAAGCAGTATTAGCATATCCTTCCCTTTCTGGCTTCTCTTTTCTTCTTGCAACTAGTTAATTTCACTGAAACGAATTGTCGTAGAATCACGGGGGAGGAAAAACAATTAAAGCGATGCTCGTTCCATGAAAAAGTGCAAGAGACGTTAACATTCATACATTGTTTTATGCAATAGTGGACACGCACCTACACACTTCACACGTTTGTTCCTCGTCACGTCTCCTACGCAGCCACAGGTCACATTCCCCGCGAGTGCTGAAGCCAAACGCATCCCATAAATGTGTCTTGATTGCTTAACCTCCAACATCCAGAGCTTTTTCACATGTTTTCAAGGGCCTCGCACAAAAGACGTGCGGTTTTCAAAGCAGAGACGGAGCGTGTCGACCAGAGGCGAGGCCTGCCGCTTGTTATTAATGGCAAAGTCTCGTTCTTCAAACGGACTGGAGAAAGACATGCAACAGATGACAGACGGCATGGAGAACTTGGACAACACAAGCCAGAGCGACGACGCAAAATCGATTCTGTCTCCAGTCAGAGATACAGTACACAACCATTTCCACATGTTCTCTTTGATTTCAGGGTGCTTCTGATGTGAGAAACACGAGCATGAGACAGCCTGATGCTTAAAAGTGTCGAGTGTATAAGTAGGCTATATGAATGCTGAAGATGCACTTAAAACTTTTAAAAAATTGCATCCGCAAACAAATGCGGCATGAACTAACTTCACTTTTCGGAGTCAGTTTTGCAATGACTTTTGGTAAATGGACTGCATTTATATCATACTTTTAATCAACTAGTGTTTTATTGGATGTACTGTATAAGTCAGATCTCCTCAAGCTCACACTGACGTCCTAGCAGATATTTCTGTCTTCATGATCAACAGTATATCTATTGCTTTACAGTTTAAAAGTCAATTCATGTCTTTTTGTTTAGCCTTTGCTTGAAAAGTGTGCTTGTGCTTTTTTAGGAACTCGTTTTTTTTGTTTTTTTTTAATACTATTGAATACTTTAATATTTTGTTTGGGCCGTGTTTTATTGTTTTAAAAAGTCTTGATTATCAAATTCCACTGTATTTTTCAGTATTTCACTGAAAAAAAGGCAAAAACAAGACAAATTAAAGTGTAGTTATATAATGTGGATGACTAATGGTTAAGAATGGTTGAAATTAAATAAGATTATTGTTTTTTTAGGAGGAGGCGATTATGAAAAAAGTCTCAACTCGAATATGTAGAATTCAGAAACCTTTGTTATTAGCGACACCGGTGGCCGTTAAGTGAACTACAACCAGCAAGTTATTGCTCACGCTCGCACTCGAGAACATGGTTCAAGGCCCTGATATACTCACAGTGATTTTTTTTTGTTCTTTGTTTAGAATTAAAGAGTAAAAGTAAAGACTAAAAGGTTTTAAACTGTTTAAGCGCAATAAGCAGCGAAAGAGGACTCATTTCGCTCTGACAGACTGCTTTTGAGTGCACACACCTGAAACCCACGCTCATACAGTGTGTGAGCTCCGAACTTCAATTACACACAATCAGCAGTCAGTGTGAGCGCATGTGAGAGAAGCGCTCTTCAGTCTTCTCATATACCTCAATAGCGTCATTGAAAGCACTCGATTTATTTTCACTGACTGCGAGAAAAGCCTATTTTAACTTTTGATTAATAAAATGTTCTGCTATAAAAGTTTATATTATATTTAAAGCTATATTCTGTTTAAACTGTAGGCTACTTTTACATAATTACGTTTTGCTTTCGCTAAATGCCCCTTTGTGCCACCTGGTGGTCATTTCGCGAACGAATTTGAAATACGGCTGGTTTATCTTTGCCGCGGTGGTGCCAGTGGCATTCTGGTTGTCCACCTACTGTATATGAAGAGTTCAGATGCAAAAGCCTCTAAATGCCATTTGAAATTTTCTTCTTTAATGACGATTTTTATCAAACTTGTATATTTAAGTTCAGTAATTTCACTGAAATAACAATTAATAGGTAATTATCATTGCCATTTAAGTGAAATCACTGAACTTAAATATACAAGTTTGATAAAAATCGTCATTAAAGAAGAAAATTTCAAATGGCATTTAGAGGCTTTTGCATCTGAACTCTTCATATGTAAAATTGCAAGTACCTCATAAACACAGTCTTTATGTTTTAATAAATGGTTGAAAAAGACAGTGCGCGTCTACCAGTATATTAAATCAGTATTCACTCTTAAAGTGACAGCAGCTTAATAAACCTGACTTGCTCTTGTAGGTTTTTTTTTATTTCTAGTGCTTAAAGTTTTTACGGTAGGTCTACCCATCTATTTATGTAGGTTTTTTGTCCTATTTCAGCACTGACTGTTTACTTGTCTTCAGTGAGCTTGAGCAATCTTTTGTTTTTATTGTTAGTTAGGCTAGTATTTTTTTTTTGTTGAAATTTGTAATGAGATTTATGTAATTTCAATTAAATGTTATATATCATAAAAACTTTGTTTAAAGCAAAAATAACTATTGTGATATATATTGTTATCGTGAAATAAAATGATTCATACCCTAAAAGGATGCAGACAGGTATTGGCGAAAAGACATTTCAGATTAAGATAAGAAATTCCAGTCAGTCGTATGGAAAACTCGGCACAGGAAATGTGCCATCATGAAGATGAGAGTCAAACGGTCATTTAAATAGAAGAAACATCCAAAAAAGGAGGGAACAACAGATCTCCAACACGATTGTGTGCGTGTGTGTGGTTTCGCAGCCTCAGCAATGCCTTCACCACATCCTCTTTCCCCTCCCTCGCTTCTGATCGACTGGCCACAGGCTCCCACATCTGCTTCTCCTCAGCCGGGACCGAGGCGAACGAGGGAGCGGGACACTCTTCTCCTCCGCAAGGCATGGCCCGAGGTTTTCCTCTCGCTCTACCGCAACAAAGCCCACTGTGTTCTTTCCTCCCATTCTGAACTTTATCCATCCACTACTCCTGCTCTCACTGCACACTTCAGAGGGCTGACCGGATACACACGCCGGCCTAACCAACTAAACACGTATAGGGCCCAATCCAGTTTGGACTCGGTTGTGGATGGGATTTCAGGGTCGCTAATCACCCACACATCTGGGTTCATTTAATCTAATGATCCGTTCAGAATAAATTAGATTAATAATGTAATAAAGTTGTTTATTTAAATATAGATCGTTCCAGGGTTTCCTTTGAAATCTTGAGTGTGAATTTGAAGTGAATTGGCCACACCACAGTGGAAGTTAAATTGGAATTGGAAGAGAAAGGTCTGCCTTCTGGGAAATAATGTGTTTCATGTAAAACACTGTTTAAAAAATTGGGGTGAGCAAGTAAAATTGATTTTTTTAAAGGAATATTGCAGTATTCTTTTCTTTTAAGTGTGCCTCATATTCTTTCAGCAAAATTACTCCCCCCTCCCCCTTCTCTTCTCTG